GTAAAATTGACTAACTCCACGATGGGATGCTCCGGCTTTACTTACACCGGCCAATTTCGCCTCTCTGTTCGTCAAAGCTCGGAACGAAACGATAGGTAAGACGAAGACCAACAAAAAAGAGCGTCGCTACATGGGATACAAATTCTTATAGGTGCAATTATTAGAATTTATAGTAAAGGCAAAGTACAAAGGTCAAACATAAGGATGTACATACAGTGTTTATGAGAAAATCTGCTGCTACGATTTACAATAGCGTTTTAAGAAGTCCCTTCAATACGCTCTACAATGAAGGGATGTTGAAGAGCGTCATTTAGAGAAATACGTCTGGTTGGATCGAGAACAAGGACTTTTTCAAGAAGATCGCGGAACTGAGTCATCTTCCTTAAGATTGGTGGTGTCAGCTGGGGATCATCCGTTAAATCAGAAAGGAGGTCCCTTGTGATCTGAATGTTTCGCATCACCGTTGTTTTTGCCTTAAAGGAGAAATCGCAGGAAATAAGGAAAACAGTAGACAAGTGCGCGTGTATGAAAAATGGATTAGCTCACGTGATAAATCGCTTTTAAGAACTCAATAGAAATTATGGAATAAAAAGCTAGTAAAGTAGCTAACCCGGGGCGCAAGACCTTCTATCCAGTGAACAGTGCGTCACCTTTTCTTAAAACCAAACGGGCTGACCCTGTTGATGACTACTTTCGCATCACTGATGATGAAACAAGCCCCAGTTTTTTAACATTCCCCCAAAGCACATTAAGCAGGAACAAGTTTCAAAGCTACAGTGAACACCATCGACAACAACACTAATATCCTCCCAGACAGATTAAACCAGTCTCGTCTTGCGCATGAGCAGCTGATTGCGTAATAATTGGCACGAGACGGAGTATGACAACGATTAGTTGGAAACAAATTAGTTAGACGTTTGCAGCGGGTGGTGAAACTGACGGAGGGCGAAAGAAAGGCAGAGGGTTGGTTAAGGAGGGGGGACTTTTGAACTTGTTAGACCCCATTTAGTCGGCTAAGGCATTGTGTAAAACCCACGATTAAAAATATCATGTTATTTTTTGTAAACATAACACTCACACAGATGATTTCTTACGCTAACAATTGCTGCAGACTATAACAGCATTTTCGCGTACTTGGTTGGAAATGGGGAAAGCTTACGTGAACATCTACCTTTCCCTGTCACATTATTTACAAAGGCAGAATAGGTTATGCTTAAGCCATTCTTACCAATAAATCTAAGTAATCCTGTATCCAGTCAAGAATAAACTCAAAAGGCAGTATTTAACTTTATCATGCGAACAATTCTTGCGCTGAAATCACTGCGACATAGTTGACGACGTCCTTCCAAGTTAACATCTTCCTAATGCATCGAGTAATTATTTATGTACCTTAATTGCAATTATTAGAAAATGGGAATATATATTGTTCGTTCACGTAATGTATTCGTCATGCTAGAATACTATAATAGGGCCAAAAGTCAAACGAGTACAATTAAAAGATTAACTGGCCGAAGAAGTCAACAACCTAAGTAACTTCTTTGTAAATGTTCATTTCTTCGACACCAACACCTTATATTGAGTTTATCT